CCCCTAGAAGGTTGACGCAACCTTAAGTGACTTCCTGGCGCAGTGTGTAAACATCGCATCAGCGCCGGGGAGACAAAGGCGGCCGGGTTTGACGGTGGCCGACCCCCCCCCCACCGCCTCCAGCGCCGTGCCGGCCTTGATAGGTGCTCGCTGACAGAGCACTTGCCCCCAAACAGTGACACCCTAAACAGGTTAGACGGGGGATCTCCGCGCGCTCTTCACAGCACGTGCAGAGAGATGGGCTATTGCCCGAAGAGTCGTCTATTGTTATGGAAATAAAACAATTCAGGCCAAAGTCTTCTTGATCTCTGCGTTGGGTGTTCTTCTTGTTATTAGTTGTGCTTGTGCACCGCTGCCGACCCAGCATGTGCAGCGGCATTGCCTGGAAATAATTTGCCGAATAGGGTCATCTTCGTTTGTTCGCGTGGCTTTGTATATTTTGTTTCTCTTTAAAATCTGTTGGTTCAATTTTCGTGGTGTAAGCATTGCATTACTTTTTAATGAGCAGTAAGTGTTGGGAATAACGCCAAGGGACTGTCAGCGTGAGCGCGCGTGTGTGTGCCTACAGCCCATGACGATTATCTGAACCAGTCCTGAGCCTCCCCTAGGTTGACTCAGCCTCAAATGAGTATATGTGTAAACATCGCCACTGGGGAGACAAAGGCGATCGGGTGTGGTGCTGGCCACATGCCCCCTCATTTACCGTGTCGGTCTTTATAGGCGCTGCTCGCTAACAGCACTTGTCCCAACAGTCTGTTAAGGCGATACGGGGGTCTTTGTCTTTGTTTGCCAACAGCCAAAATTATGTACGCACGGGCATTCAATCCATGGGGAAAAGAAGGGAGGTGAATTCACACGGCACGTGGATGGAGTGATGATGGAGCGATGCTGGTGCGATTGTTGGAGTGATGATGGAGCGATAATGGAATGATGATGGAGTGATGATGGAGCGATGATGAAATGATGATGGAGTGAAGATGGAGTGAAGATGGAGTGAAGATGGAGTGATGATAGAGCTATGATTGAGTGATGATGGAGCCATGATGGAACGATGATGGAGTGGTGATGGAGTGATGATGGAGTGATGATGGAGCGATGATGAAATGATGATGAGTGAAGATGGAGGGAAGATGGAGTGATGATAGAGCTATGATGGAGTGATGATGGAGCCATGATGGAACGATGATGGAGTGATGATGGAGCAATAATGAAATGATGGAATTATGATGGACCCATGATGGAGTAATGATGGAGTGATGATGGACCCATGATGGAGCTATGATGGAGTGATGATGGAGTGATGATGGAGTGAAGATGGAGTGATGATGGAGCTATGATGGAGTAATGATGGAGTGATGATAGAGCTATGATGCAGTGATGATGGACCCATGATGGAGAAATGATGGAGTGATGATGGACCCATGATGGAGCTATGATGGAGTGATGATGGAGTGATGATGGAGTGAAGATGGAGTGATGATGGAGCTATGATGGAGTAATGATGGAGTGATGATAGAGCTATGATGGAGTGATGATGGACCCATGATGGAGTAATGATGGAGTGATGATGGACCCATGATGGAGCTATGATGGAGTGATGATGGAGTGATGATGGACCCATTATGGAGCTATGATGGAATGATGATGGACCCATGAAAGGAGTAATGATGAAATGATTATGGAGTGATAATGGAGCGATGTGGAGTGCTGAAGGAGCGATGATGGAGGAGTGATGATGGAGTGATGATGGAGGAGTGGTGATGGAACGATTATCGAGTAATGATGGAGCGATGATGGAACCATGGTGGAGCGATGATCGAGCAATGATTGAATGATTATGGAGCCATGATGGAACGATGATGGAGCGATATTGGAGCGATAATGGAGACATGATGACGTGATGATGGAGCAATGATTGAATGATGATGGAACGATGATCGAGCGATGCAACTTCAATGTCGATTTCTAAATCCCATGAGCCAACCTTACGTTACAGGACATGTAATGATTGAACGTTGATTCATGCACTGTGCAATATTTTCTTTTTTCACGCGCGATGCGATTGTTTTTGCACCGATTTATCTTCACTTCATTGCTGTAACTTCATTATTTCTTAGTCTGCGCTCGTATTGTTTCGGTCACCCAGGTCACACTCCTGAAAAAAAGTGACTCATCCAGTACAGGAGAGTTTTTTTCTGATTCTCACGTGGTTAAACGAGGTACGTAGATTGCTTGGGAAGGTATTCATCAAGCAGCGGGTCGACCACGGCTGATGACGATGATGACCGATGCTACAGGCAAGAGCTGACTACACACGTGGCTAGGATTGCAAGTCACGCTTATTGGACTGAAACTTTGTGATGTCGCAAGCATTGGCGATGATTGCGAACGGATACATTTTTGTTTTTTTTTTGTTTTTAAAGATCGTGCACGTATAACGGAATATAAAAATCAAAGCCAAAGATTCTGTCGGTTCAAAGACTGCTCAGGAGAAAGTGGGAAACAGCTATTAACTCGATTGGCCACATAGAACCTGGTAGTGGTCATTCCACATCACCATGGCAGGGACCAGTCTATCCTTGGGGGGGGGCACGCTTTGGAAACATTGGGTTGGTGTAGTGGTGTGGTGACGAAATTATCACCTCATTGTGGGGGGGGGGGGGGGGGGGGGGGGGTGTTCGGCAATCGATCAAGTCGGCCCCCCCTAATATTTGATCTGTGCGATTTGCGGAAGCCTGACGTTACCGCTCTAATTATATCAAAACTGGAAAGTGGGACGAAAGTGAAAGCACTTTCGCAAAATTAAATGTTAACCGCGTGTTAAAGAAGCTTTTGTTCTTTTTGCACTGCCGCTGTTGAAAACAAATCTCATCGTGGTGACTGTCAAGGGGGGGGGACAACTCGTAGCTTTGCACACCAGGGCAGGGGGGGGGGGGCAAGACACCTCCTGCCCCCCCTCCCTCCCAACCCCCGCGCGAGTTACGCGACTGGGTTGGTAGGTCACGCGGAGATTAGTGAAACGATCCCAAAACTCGGCTGGGTGACGAGGCAGTGGTCAGGAGATGGCAGGACAAGCCGGTGGGTTCGTGATCCCGTCTGTGTGGACCTTTGACCACTATCCCCTTTGCTGTGCGTGGTGGGTGTTGTCAGGCTAGGGCGACCCCCGCCCCCCCCCCCCCCCCCCCCCAACACTAAGCAACACTACTCTCATCATTATCTAATTGAGAAATTGGCCAATCATCTCGATGCAGAACTCGCTTGAGGCTTTCCTGGATAAATAATTCGCATTTTTTTATCCTTATTAGTTGGGGGGGGGGGGGTGAATATCCGTGAGCAGCATGTGTATTGTTTGCTGCGTTTGTGTGATGCGGAGCTGTAGTGTAGCGGTTAGCGCGCTCCACTACCAACCCGGCGACCCGGGTTCGATTTCCCACTCATGGCCAACACGAGTGACGATTATCTGAAGCGGTCCTGGGCCTCCCTTAGGTCGACTCAGCCTCAAATTAGTACCTGGTGCGGTGTGTAAACATCGCCACTGGGGAGACAAAGGCGGTAGGGCGTGGTGCTGGCCACCCACCCCCTGGTGTACCGTTGCGGCCTTTATAGGTGCTCGCTAACAGCGCTTGCCCCAACAATCTGTTAAAGCCTATACGGGGGGTCTTTGTCTTTGTTTTTGCGTGCTGCGGTGCGGTGATGCACGCGCTGGGCTCTCTTTTCGATTCCCAGACACGGCTATAACATCGCGAGCAACAACGGTTTCTATCTAAACCCGTTCTTCATCCTACGCCTTGCTTGATTCAGCCTCAAATGAGCAATTGTTACTCTGTATCCACATCAGACAACAGGGGGGATACAAAGGCGTCCGCTCGTGGGTGTTGGCCACGCCACCACATCTCTCGTGCAGGGCCGCGCCTTAATAGGTGCTCGCTAACAAACGCAATTGTGCCGGGGATTCATTTCTCGCTCGACATTTTCCGGAACTCTGTCAGAATTGCCCTCATTCATCGCACATTATGAGTCACTCTCGAGTCACTCTACCTCCCCGATCACTCTACTGCTCTGGCCTCTCTATGAAAAAGGGCCATTGCTCGAACCGTCCAGCTAGCATGTACTTTTCAGTGTTATTGACGAATGCGTTTATTTTCGTTCAAACGTACTATGTTGAACTTCTTTCGCAACCGTACGTAGCCAACCGCGGATAATCGACGGTGCGGGCGGGGGGGGGGGGGGAAGGACAACAAACTAAAGACAGAAGGCACTTCTAAAGAGATGAGTTTTCAATCTGACTTTAAAAGTGCACATCGCTCCCAGTGGCTGCCGAACATCGGAATGAAGAACGTTCCAGACGGCCGCAGAAGCGTATCCGAAAGCGCGCGATGCGATGCCCGCCGTCTTTGTTCCATGGCTAGCGGCCAAACGCAGCCGCTGCTGTGAGGATGATCGCAGTTCGCGCGGCCGTTTACGCCCCTTGACGAGATCGGCGAGGTAAATGACGTGTAAAATGTCTTCGAATATACTCTACCCTTATATGAATATAGCTGTTACAGAGCTGGGAATTACGTGACGAGACAGGAAGAGGAACACGCGCATCGGGAGAACAAACGCAAATAAGGGAACGTTACGGTGACTTAAATCGCACACACACACACGTGTTCTTGGGGAAGACACATCCATGAAGCCAGAAGGTTCCGTGAAGATGGCTCACTTCCCAAAACGTCGCCTATTGTGCAATCGTTCCATTGAAGGCCGCAGTGTTGTGATGAGAAGGAAACTGGCGCTGTCTGGACACATATGTAGGCTGGACAACACACAGGGACATTAAAAGCGTGCTGGTTGAAACATGGAAGGCTCCGGAAAGAGAGGACGACCGAACAGAGTGTGGCTTGGCGACATCATACGAGATTGGTGCCAGAGAGATGTGGCACACTTCTTGAGCGTAATGGCACAAGACAGAGAGGGAAAGTGAAAAACAAATGACTAAATGTGCAGTGGACACTTACGGGGCTATCTGCTCGTTGTTCGTGATGATGATGATGTTGTTGGCGGATGTGTTGAGTGTTGCTGTTATTGTTGTTGTTATAGCTCGACGCGATGATGACCGATGGTCGAGACTAACCACGGAGTGGCAGGCAGGCAGCCACAGGGAGGGAGAACACGACCTGGAGGACATCACACCACGGAGATGGAGCGATGGAAATCGACTCCTGTGCGCAAGGGTGCATCGCACGAGCGTGGGCGGCGGGTGACGGTTTATGGGGACAGCTTTGTCATCCAGCGGTGGATAAATAATGTATGCGTTATATATTTACGTAAGTGTTTATCTCAGACCAGCCACTCGCTGCCCGAGGCAAGAGGACGCGTCTCACCGCGTCGAGGCGTGATTGTCATTTACAGACTCAGAGAGTAATTATCCGCACCGGAGGAATCCGATGAGCTATAAAGCTCTTTTTTCTTTCCACAGACGTTCCAGTAGTAGTGTTGGGCGCGGGCCGATGCCCAACATTGCGTGGAAAGGCGTCCCGTGGCGCCAGATCCTCGGAAGCTAAGCGAGCGTTGAGCCTGCACGTGAGAGTGCTGGACATGAGCGACCGCCGTGCATAGCAAAGAGCTGACACGGGAGGCTGCGGGGGTTTAGGTTTGTGGGAGTAGGAGAGTGTGGGTGGAGGGGGGGTCGGGACAAAGCAGCGTTAAACCTCATTACTGTGCCCCTACCTCGACACTTCCATCGCCGTCTATGTCTTCCCGCGCCCCCTTCGCCAACCGCAGCCGTCCTGCCAACCAAAAGCATCGTTGTGGGGAAGTATTGTCGTCAAGACGCTGTGGAGGAGGTGAGAGCTACGCGCACTTTACCCCCACGCGACGCGCCACCTGCCGATCTTCTCCACCCATGGTGGACCATCATTTGTGTTGGGTTGACAGAGGCGGGGGGGCGGGGGGATATTTGAAGCTCCCCCCGGCCCGCGACCCCTTAGGGGCGCCGCAGTGGCGAGATGTTAACAACCTCGCTCGGTGTACAGGAGGTCGTGGGTTCGATCCCGACTCCCGTGCAGTTGGAGTCTGCGTGTCTGTCTCCCCGTGATGATGACGAGCCGCTTCGTTGACCTATCATTTGTGGCCAGGTCGCTTCTGAAAAAGAGCTACACGGCTCAGTGGGCCTTACCTGGTAAAATATAAAACGTATACAGTTTTAACTGCCGCGCCAGGAGATCGAACATGTTTGGCAGCGCTCGCAAGTGACACCGACGCAGTGGAATGTTGAGATCGTCTCTGTGGCGAGCTGTGCCGGCGGGCCTTGAGTGAATGTGCTCGTGTCTTAAACATGCTTTATGACTGCTGCGATTTTAATTAAATGCGTTACGACTGAGAGAGAAGAGAGAGGCGGGAGTGGGGGTGAAGAGAGAGAGAGAATAGAGAGAGAGAAGAGACTATCTGAAGAGAAGGGAGGAACAAATAACTCTTTCACGCCTTTTACACAAATGAATAACGCGACTGAGATTGTAGAAGAGCGACCACACACACAACAAAAGACAAAGATCCCCCGAACAGCCTCTCACGGACTGATGTGGCAAGTGCTGTTCGCGAGCTCCTACGAAGGCCTGCACTGCACATGACAGAGGGTGGTGTGGTCAACATCAGGCCCGACCGACCACCTTTGTCTCCCCAGTGCTGGATGTTTACTACACGCACCGGGTATTCGTTTGAGGTTGAGTCGACCGAGGTTCAGGCCCCAGGACCGGTTCAAATATTCGCCGCCGATGTTGGCCTTGAGCTGGAAATTGAACTCGGGGTCGCCGCGGTCGCACCCCCAGCACGCTCACCACTACACCATCGCTCCCCACTATCGGTGTACGACAAGATACACACGTGCACCAAAACAAAGATCCCCCGTGTAGCCTTGAACAGACTGTCGGGTCAAGTTCCCTTCGCGAGCACCTATGAAGGCCGGAGCGGCAAACGAGGGGATGGGTGGCCAGCAGCGAGCGCCGGCAGCCTTTGTATCCCCAGTGACGATGTTTACACACCACCATCAGCACCGCATACACATTTGAGGTTGAGTCGACCTAGGGGAGGCCCAGGACCGGTTTTGGCCGTGAGCCGTAAACGAATTCGAATCTCCGGGTTCGAAGCGCAGCGCGCTAACCGCTGCCCTACCGCTCCTCACAACGCACGCACACACACGCACTAATCTCATACCACACACACACACACTAGCCTCTCTCTCTCTCCCGTACACTAATCTCTCACACAAACGCACGTGGGAACGCTGACTTGGCAGAAAACTAACTCCCGTTGACTTTCCACTGATGTAACACCCCCCACCACCACCCACGTTATACTTCACGATCTGTCTCCAACAGACGTATGCCCCGCAAGTTTCTCGCAAGTGTGGCAATGCGATCCTGAAGCTCGCTCGCAATGCGAAGCAATGGTCAGGAATATCATCAAACGTCCGCCTTTCTGGCATGCTGTTCTGGCCTCAATAGGTGCTCGACTCACAACACTTGGCCACCGACAGCCTACCCACGTACGCACGCATGTTGAACTTATTTCGCACCCTACGTAGGCAAACCGCGCTAATCGGGGGTGCCGGGGTAGGACAGCAAGCGTTTGGTACAGGAGTAGTTTTGGTACGTAGCTCATAAGGGGGAGTTATGGACAATCAAATATACATTATTTTTGAAAAGCATCGTTCAATCGGGGGTGATAAACGTTAACAAATATTGCAATAATGTACGCACGCTTGCCATTTTCATCGAGAGAGATGCATAAAGAGGAACACGTGGAATTGTGAGTTAAGAATTACATCATCACCATTCAAATTGTTAAGAAGAGTCAGTGGGAGGCTTGGGCAAAAATAACTCGTCACGGCTAAGAGGTGTCGGGAACGAGAGCCGATGGTCGAGGCGAATAACAGAGTGGCAGCCAAAGGAAGGGGAGCGTGCTCTGAAAAGGGGTGAGCCGTCCGCCAAGGAGGAGATGGAGCTATGAAACGAGTTCGCGTTGCCTGTCCTGGGTGGATCTTCAGAGGCGGGGGCAGCGGCGGCAGCTTTGGAGAGCGCTTCGGCGATATCATCCAGCCGTGAATGAATTACACACTGCCCGCTCGCTATGAAGGCGCAGTTCACGGCGATTGATCTAGCGCGAGTCGTCGCCGCAATATCCGCACGGCGTTGTCTCTCATCAATTTATAGCACGCATCATTGCTATTAACGCTCATCACGCAGAGCACATGCGCACGCACCGAAGGCAAATATTCCCCGTACAGATGCATTTTTTTTTATAAACACGCTGTCTGGGCAAAGCGGTGTTAGCGAGCACCTATTAAAAACCGGCACAGCGCACGAAGGCAATGGTGTAGTCAAGCAGCACCAAGCCCGGCCGCCTTTGTCCCCCCCCCCCCACCGACCGAGGCCAGCAATCGAACTCGTGTCGCCGGGTTCGTAACGCAGCGCGCTGACTACTATACTACTGCTCCCCACATACGCTTACATGTACGCACAGACACGCGCACGTCAAAGTCTACTGTGTTGTGTCGTGTATAGGTGCTCGCTAAGCACAGTCTGTGCATGGGATGAAGAACATCAGTGCGTGTCTTTGTCTTAATCTGTGTTACTGGTGCGTCATAGATGGGCTGTATGTACCATACCCGTGTGTGTGTGTGGATTGTTATAAGTGTATTCGTGTGTGTGTATTAGTGTGTACTGATATTCACACGGCGAAGGATAGCTTCGTAAAAATACAAAGATCCCTCCGTATAGCCTGAACAAACTGCTGGGGGAAATGCCTTGAGCGAGCATCTATGAAGGCCGGCACGGCACAAAAGGGGGGGGTGGATAACCAGCACTACGCCCGGCCGCCTTTGTCTACCCAGTACCGATGCTTTACACATCAAACCCCAGGAACTCATTTGAGGCTGAGTCGACCAAGGCGAGGCTCAGGACCGGTTCTCGCGATCGGCACTGGCGTTGGTTGACCGTGAGCGGGCATCGAACTCGGGATTTTCGTAGCCGAGCGCTCTCACCACTGCACTACCGCTCCCCCAGGTACCCGCCGCGTACGCGCTGCGTGGTCTGTGAGCGGCAGCTGCGGTGCGTGCATGGGGGAGCGGTGGCGCGCTGCTTAGCGCGCTACTCTTCGAGTTCGATTCCAATAAAAGTGACGATTATTCTTAACTGGTGCCGGACCTCCCCTCGGTCGACTCAGCTTTAAACGAGTGCCTGGGGGGGGGGGAAACAAAGGCGGCCGGGCGTGGTGTTGGCCACCTAACCCCTCGTGTGTCGTGCTGGCTTGAATAGGTGATCGCTAACAACGCTTGCCCCAACAGTCTGGTCATAGTACCGCCCCAACAGTGCACAAAGATCCTCCTCCACACGGAGGAGGATCTTTGTGCACGAGCCTGCCTGTTCTAGCGTGTGTGCACTCACGTGTACTCGTGTGTGTGTGTGCTAACGTATGTGTGTATGCTACTTTGTGTATGTGCTAAATGTATGTGTCAGTGCGTGCACTCGTACGTGCATATGAGTATGTGCGTGTGCTAGCGTATGCACTGGTATCTGTGTATGCTACGACGTGAATGTGCGAGTGTATGTACTGGCGTATACACCAGCATGTGGGTGCACTAACGTATGCTAGTGTGTCTGCTAGTGTGGTTATACTAACCAACATGTCTGCACTAATAGTACATATACGAATACGCACACACCAAGTCCGTCTATGTATGCGTACGTACTGGCGCGCGCGCGTGTGTGTGTGTAAGCACCCAGTGACCCAAGACAGCTGCCGGTACTAGCGACACGTACTTGCGAGAGAGACGCGACGGGAGAAGGAGGAGGATGAGATGGAGATGACCGAGAAGCCTTGGCAGTGAATAGCGGCGGCAGCAGCAGCAGCGTGTGAGCTCGCACTTAGGTAGCGAAGCGCACAATGCCCGCGTCTGGCCCGCGTTATCACTTTCGTTCAGCCGCTTAGAATTTGACTCCAGAATTCACTCAACAGGAGCCATTCATCGCCACCCGGGATCAGATAATGTGTGAAAACGACAACCTACAAATTGCCCGGTGCAATTTCTCTCTTGGTGTCTGTCTCCCTGTCTCGCTTACTCTCTCTACATATATATTGTAACGCACACGCACACACTCATAATGCACACGTGTGTGTGCGTGCGCGTGTGCTGCTGTAGGGCGGAGCGGTAGTGTAGCGGTTAGTGCGCTGCGCTATGAACCCGGCGACCCGCTCACGGCCAACATCAGTGAATATTATCTGAACCGGTCCTGGACCTCCCCTAGGTCAACTCAGCCTAAAATGAGTACCTGGTGCGGTGTGTAAACATCGCCACTGGGGAGACAAAGGCGGTCGGGCGTGGTGCTGGCCACCCACCCCCTCGTGTACTGTTCCGGCTTTCATAGGTGCTCGCTAACAGCACTTGCCGCTACAAGTCTGTTAAGGTTATACGGGGGATCTTTGCATTTGTGCTGATGTACGTGTATGTATATAACTGCGTGTGAGTATGTGTGTATGTTATGCGTGTCAAGCTGCTATACTTTCCCCTACTCAATCACACGCACACACCTATACGGACGTAGGTGTGTGTGTGAATGAAAATGACTCAATTGAGATTATAACGCGGCAATCATCGCCGCTTACCGGCAGACTAATGCCCCGTGTCACCCGTGCAAATGAGACTCATCCTGATCCCTTGAGTTCTTACTTGGCTCAACAAACGAATACCCGCGCGTGCGTGTCAGTGTGTGTGCGTGCGTGCATGCGTCCATATGCACGTGTGCCAACATCCCATTTATACTGCCCCCTCTATAATCGCACGCAGTACAAATTAATGTGTGTGTACAGCGTGTGTATATGTGTGTGTCCGTATGTACGTGCGTACATACATACCCCGAGTACCCACCTCCTACGATATCCACAGCGCCGTCTCGCACACACGTGTGCCGCAAGAGAGAATGAATGAAAGCACCACGTGTGCGTGTTCGTGTGTGCGCGCGTTATCAGTGCGTTGTGTGTA